AGCGGCCGGGGTGGTGCTGGTGGCGCTGGCGGCAGTGCCTGGTGCGAAGCAAAAAATCAGAGGATTTTCACTTCCTTCACGGGACATCACCAGCGTTAAATGGATTTTAAATGGATTTTGCAGCATTTTAAAGGGTTTTAGAGGATCTTCTTTTTCTGTGACATGGACTGCCTTCTCTCTCGCCTTGTCAAGAGAAGGTCCAGCGACCTGAGACACTGTCATGCCAGGATTTTGTACGAACGTGGAATATACCAATGATTAACAACCGAGCATAGTTTACCATAGTTAACCATGATATACCACATGATTATATTTTTCACTCTTGATGTCATTTTAGTTTATTTTTGACATGTTGTAGTATTCCGGGAATTCGATAGACATCAAAGGAGTACACCCATCACAGCTAAAGTCGATATATCCACAATACGCAAGAAATTGGCATGAACGATCTCAGTTATAAGTTGCTTTACGAACCCATCAAACTATGCTTGTAATATCTTGTAATCACCATAGACGCTCGTTATACCAGTTGTAAATCAACTCAGCTAACGAACAGGTGCAACAGAAAATCTCATGAAATCACGGCAAAAATCTCGGCAAATCATCATTTTCTCCCATTGAATCTCCAGTCAATCTCAGTAAAACCCCAAAATACCATATTCTCATGACATTTATCCATATGGATGTTTCCTAAGTCATGGGGGTATCCCCAAATCATCCATTTTAATAAATTATTTTCCATTATAAACAATCCATTTTGGGGTACCCCCATTTTAGGAAACCCCCATTTTTTTCCCATCTTTTAATCCGCATTTTCTGGTCTTCTCCAGGCTCTCGGGACTCGTTTGAGGGGCCGATTTTTACGCCAAGCGACTCGCCTCTTCATGGGAGGTGGCGCCACCTGGTTTTGCTCATGGCAACCGGGAAAAACACACACACACTTCATATACACGGTATTTTAATGTCTTTAATGATCAATAGGGATTTAGTGGGTACTACATATTTTTCTACATGAAAATCATGAAAATTGAATTATTTGGTATTAGATATTATATAGATGCTGAATTAGATGAATAACTTCTGTTAAATGGACACTGTGAGTCATGGATGGACATTCTGGATTTGAGTCGTTGGATAATAATATAGTGGAACGCATCTAAAATAGATTGCAGAATCGATGGAAGAAAGACCACTAATGAATAATGTGGGATTCACCCTTGCTGCCGTAGACTTCCGATTTTGGAGGGTTGGAATCAAAGCCCATTGGGGGGATATTGGGGATAGGTTATGAACTTGGGTTTACCACATTAATGACTGATGGATGGAATTTTGAGTGGAAGAACTGGAGAAAACATGTGAAATAACTTGTAGAACATGAACAACTACCATCCATTTCTATCGGAAACTTATCTGTGTATGGTTCAACGATTCTAGGAAATTTCAACAACATGGATTTGTTTCAAGATACTTGAAGTGATGTACACTCTGGCAAGAGGCAAATCACGTCGCCAGAGTGATTTACAATTTGATCCTTGGAGTAGTCACTATAGTCACTGCAGATAGCTTTGGGACACCATCTATTCCTTGGTGGGAATCGTCTTCCCAACTGGGGCTACCGGGGCTACCTGTCCCACAAGTGACCATCCAAACTGTGTCGTCCCTTCGACCAGTTAACACGACCCCACCTCCACTTCTTTCTTCGCCTGCAAAACTTCTGTTTTTTAACATGTTGAAGCTGAACACAGCAGAACTCATATATATTATATTAAGAACCCACATATATTTTTTGAAACTAATATATATATATATATATATTATATCAAGATTGGAATTCAGAAACCCTCAAAGATCAAACCACTGCTGATTAAATCCTCAATTTCCAAAGGGGCAAATCGAAACGCCCAGGCTTCGCTACCTGCAAAGTCTCCAAACGCGCTTTGGTCTTTTCGAAAAGTTCATCGAAACTCCTGAGACTCAGGTGGTGATGACTGTTAAAAAACTAATCTGGCACCAGCGTCACAGTGAACATATATATATATATATGTAGGATATTATAGGTATATATAATTAATTATATATATAGAGGTATAGGTATGTAGACTATGTTTAGATGTCAGATACGAATCTCTACAGATCCAAATCCTTTTCAATCTGATTTAACATATCGCCAAATCAACCGCTCAACCGGTCACGTGAGGATCCACCGGTGCGAAACGAAGCGCCAGCCGCGGTCCTCTTCTTTGTGTCCACTGCTGGGACAGTCTGCGCAAGCGGAGTGAGGAAAAGTGCAGTGAGGGTTGGGTTTGTCTGAAAATAGGGTCTATATAAATCCTAAAACCACAAGGTTCATCATCTTCCTCATTGAAACTGCCATGACTGGGTGTGATGTTCATCTATTTTCAGACACACCCAGAACTGGATAGTTGTTGACATCTGCAGACAACACCACTGAAATAAATGCAGACAACCATCATGTTATATTATATCCATTCATATCCCCAGCTGAAAGAGAATACATTTGTCATTGCCTTTTTCCCAAACAAGGTCATTATTGGGCGCAGGCTCTCATGCCATGCTCCGATTTTTTGAAGCAGCTGAAACATCTGATGCCGCAATCCTTGACCGTTCACACGCTTCATTTTTAGACATTCATGCATGATTCCATGCAATTCTAGGGGTAAAATCCCAATGATTGCTGGTTAAATGAGTTAAATGCCATGAAGAGCAACCGCAACTGGTGAAATTTCACCAACTTCCTTGAAGCTCCGCACCGTCCCAGGAAGCTTGTTGGGGTGTCCCAGAATGGGGTATACCATGGTATACCCTAAAATGGTTGACATATGGGGGGTGTTTTATAACATGATCATAAAGCTTTATAAAACTGTAAAAAAAAACAAACACATATAAAACTTACATTTGTGATCACAACAAATGACCTCATGTTGATACCTTTTGGTCATTTAACGTAGCTATGGAAAATCACCTATTTCATGGGAAAATCCACTATAAATCACCATTTTCAATAGCTATGTTAAATTACCAGAGGGTAAATTTACGATCGATTTCATGGGAGACCGAATGGCGAAGAAAAAAGCACCGGCCTTGCAAGGTGCCGAGGGCCCTGGTGTTGCCTTGCGCCAGAGATGCTGATGAGAATATGAATGGTGGGAATAACAAACACATATCTATCATAGCAACAATATATATCCCAAAAAAAGCACACACACACATATATATAATATTATATAATTATGAAGACAAGCTCTTGAAATGGTGATCACACCACAGGGCAGTTGTATAGGCCAGGCCCTGATTTTGCACAGTGACAGATCTCCTCTTTTTGAATTCAAACTTGGCCGCAGCAGCAGATGCTTCGTTGTGCCATGAGGAAAGCTTATATAATTATGTATATATATATATACACACACTCATATTTATTCTATGATTTTATGTGTATTGTTTAGGGATTAGTTGCTTGGCATTGAGCATTGAATCATACGTCTATGCAGTCTATGCATCTCTGCGGTCAATCATTTTTTGAACCATTCTAACACTGCCCATTTGTGGTTCGTATGTTAAACCCAGGCTGATTGGATTGAAGGGTCGACCCTGACAATTTCCCCAAGTAGCAGTCTCCATATCGAGTTACTGATGGAAGCGCAGGGCTGGGATGTTTTGGGAGCAGGTTCTCCTGGCAGTTCCGTCAAACTCAATTGCAATCGTGAATGGCTTGGAGTGGTTGGTGATTTATATAGGCTTTAATGGAATTTGATGGGATGTATATTCAATTATTATGGATCAATTTAAGGGAAATCTAGAGGAACCCAGAAAATTTACGCGTTTGATGCAGATTCCATTTGAACCAGTTCTGGGAGATGAGAGAGACCATTTTTAGCTCAAACAATAAATAAGCTATCCGGATATCTCATGCATAAAGAGGTGTGAACAACAAACCTGACTTAGATCTAATTAGTTGATTTACAGCACCAAAATCCCGGATTTGGATCTACATCTACCAAGGGCCTGAACCAACGAAACCAATTCATGAGCCAGGCATGTCTACGGTCTACGCGATGTGCACAAGTTCGGCCCTAGAACTGAATGAGTCAAGTCCGTTGCTGAAACGATGTAAATTCCCTAGTGCAGCCTATGCATGGGCATCCCCTCCTGCGAGCATCCCACGGCCATCTTCGGGACCAACACTTCGCCTGGCCACGGAGCCACGTCATGGATTGGAATGGTGTGGAATGGTGATTTTTCTTAAGGATTCAATGGGATTTCCTGGGATTTGAGGGGTATCAACATTCAGAAAAACCATGAAAAATTGCTTGATTTAAGGGACAGTCCATGGAAAATTCCCATAAAAAAATCATGGGAATCATCAACTACGATGGATTCCTGGATCGACTCAACGAAACACTCCTGGGTCACCGAAAGTTTAGCACAAGAAATCACAACACACTACGCTTCACTGAGCCTTGAACTTGAATCCGTAGCTATCCACAAATTCTGGGTCAGATCTGGAGGAAGTATTGATATATGTACCATACACAGAGCATTTTGGGCATGGATCAAGACTCTTGTCCTACCATTTGATAGGATTTGTTACAAGAGATACTCAACATTGGACAAAACCAACTGTTGTAAATAATGCGTCTTGCGGAAATCATGGTTGACGTGGGGGAAACTCCAGTATTTTGCCCACAACACTATAGTGAAAGATGGGTCATACACATCATATTTGAGGGTTTTCCTGCAAGTCTGAAACTGAATGCGAAGCCGCAGAATTCGAAGCAGCCCCAGGCCACAAGAGCTTCAAATTGCGCTGTTTTTGGTCTCGTTTCAAACTGCGAATGTCCTGACCCTGGTCTGTCAGGGCCTGAACTCGCCTCTGTCAACCGATGTTTCGGCGGAACTTCCGGTCAGATGGGCATGGCTCAACAATGTGGTACCAAGCAGATCGAGCGGCGTCTTGCGGTTCTATTCATCACTACATCCAAGCTAAAGATCAATTGGAGCCATGCAAAATTCAAATTTCACGGCTTCCTCACAGGGGAACCAGGAGTTGAAATCAGTAAGCATTTCATCACTTTTACGGCCAAACATCTGCAAGTCACTTGTAATCTTCAATGAATTTGCTCAGAGCACTGCAAGCATCTCGCTTCAACTCGTCTACCATCTCTTGACTCTGCCAAAAGGCACCTATGGCAGTGGGTGGCTAATTGCCCAAAACATCCAAAACCAAGCACCAAAATCGGAAACTGTTAGGTGTATGTGTGTGTGTGCGTGTATTAGAATGTTTCTGAGGCTAATTAAGTCAGTGGCTACTGACTGGGTATGGGGTTCTATTTCCCTTCCCAGTCACCTAGTCAACTCCAGAGAAAGTCAATTAACTAGTTACTAGTTCATGTAAAAAAACTATTCCCCATTCCTATACGATCCGATACGTACATATACAATCATATACATATTATATGCATGCATGCAAGTATATACTAAGTGCATGTATGTTACTATGTAGACACGTTAAAACCCCCTAACACTACAGATATAGTTTATGCATGCTTATGCATGTGTATGCACACATTGAGGTATCTGCATTACGAACTAGGAAGGGGGATGAACTATAGAAAAAACATGAAAAAAACACCAAAATGTCTCTCAAACTATCCAGCTACTGAGCTCTTCGAGCACTTCCGTCTCATACTGCACGCTGCTCGGACCACGTGTTTGCACTATCCTGGCGAGCAGCATTGATGCGTGTAGCATTTCACCGGAAACACTGGTTGTTTTGGTTGTCCGGTGAAAAGCAAGTGTCAAAGGGAACCTGACTTTGAACAAAACAATCGACTTGCTTGTTCCAACCATCTGACAGCCAACCCGATCCACCACTCTCTGCCACGTTCCAATCTTCATGTGAACTGGCCAATCACTTTGAGAGGATCCCTGTGAGCAGGGCAAAGATCTTAGTCACTGGTCAATCCCTGTCCTTATGAAAGTATATCAAAGTTTCTTCAGAAGAAAGCAGGGATTCAATAGCATTTGCTGAAAGACAACAAAACATATATGGATTCAGAAAATGATGCATTTCACCTTGGAAAAGTATAAGTAAATTCAAATCATCTTGAACAAACAATGCCATGGCATCATGGTTCCGCTTCCTCGTGAGATCCGCAACAAGCGCAAGGTACTGCTCGAAATTTTCAGCCCTTGGTGGGTCTGCCAGAGTGGTTCTACACCAAACTGATGGATTCTAAGGTTTGCCTACTAGCTCCCATATCACCAAGGTGGTTAGCTATGCACAGTAATGGATTACATTCCAGGTTTCTTGGCAGTATATACATGTATATACTATAAATCTACAACATACTAAATATGTGTATATATATACATAGAATTATATTGTATAAATCCAATTCTGCTTTCTTGACAATTCACTCCGCCTTTTTAGCTCTATCCTTTTTCAGCGGTGGTACAGTAGCTAGCCTTCATGTTTGGGCGTTACCAGTGTGCCGCAAGCGGCACCTGTCCTGCCATCTCTCCTTAAGCCTGGGAGTATCTCGTAGCATGATCTGTCTCAAAATTATGAAATTGCCACCATGCCCCCATCATCCCCATCCGTGCAGGTATGTCTTGCAATTTTTTTAGGTAGCTTGGTGGAGCCCACTACTTGAGACCTGCATACACCTGCCTGGTTGGACAATGTTGAAACGTGGCCAAGAATCTTGATCATCTCAGGCCGGACCACCTGCTCACCATAAACCTGAGAGGTGCAAAACGCGAATTCCACCAACACTTCCCGGCAGCAAATGACCGTCAGGACCTGCCCCAAACAAAATTGCGAAGTTGAATGGATGTGAATGAACATTGGGTAAACGGAATCTTGCAAGATTTACACCTACAAAAACTAGACGACGGATGGCCCGAGAGCGTAGAGGAGCAGGGTCTTCTCTTGTTAGTATGGAGACACCACATTACAAAACAATATATTAAAGATGTGTTATAGGCAGTCGAGAAGAGGAGTATCAAGACAATATAGCACAAGTACAAGACAATAGTTTGCATTGCAAACACTTACACAGAAGCTTTTACACAGAGCAAGCTTTTACACAGAGAACCCCTTACACAGAGAAACTTTTACACACAGAAACTTTTACACACAGACACTTTTACACACAGACGCTTTTACACACAAGGCACTTTTACACACATACACTTTTACACACAGGCGCTTTTACATACAGGCAATTTTACACACAGACGCTTTTACACACTGTTGCTTTTACACAGAAGCTTTTACACACAAAGCTTTTACCCACCGAAGCTTTTACAGACAGAAGCTTTTACACACAGACGCTTTTGCACAGACGCTTTTACACACAATCACTTTTACACACAGACACTTTTACACACAGAAGCTTTTACACCCAGACCCTTTTACACACAGGAGCTTTTACACACAGAAGCGTTTACACGCAGACGCTTTTAGACACAGAAGCTTTTACACACAGAAGCTTTTACACATACACGTTTTTACACACAGACACTTTTGGCGATCGAACCTCATTTCGTGCGAAAGGGTTTGCAGGACACCTTGCAAATCGCAAATTTACCTCAGTTTTGGACGGTCGAACCTCATTTCGAGCGAAAGGGTTGCGCGGGACAAGTTGAAATCGCAATTTTACTTCAGTTTTTGACGATCGAACCTCATTTCGTGCGAAAAGGTGCGGGGGACAAGTGAAATCGCAATTTTAATCTACCCTACCTAAACTACCCCCCCCTCCCCCCCTCCTCAAAATAATTTCCAAAATTATTTTCAGGGGGTTGATAGTGTCTTCGGTTGTTATACGAAACAACCCTCTTTAGGGTAAAATAATTTCTTACGATAGACCCTCCCCTCCCCTTCATCGACGGTGGTGAACCTTCGTAAAAATTATTTCAACCCCTGGGGAGTTAATTATTTTGCCCCCCTCCGGAGACTCCAATCTTTACATATGTATACTTTGGGACCCCCCCCCTACCCGACATGATCGCATTCGCAGGTGTACCGGGGATATTCCATCCCTTCAAGAAAAACGCGGGGGTATCAACCAGGTTTTGGAATATGTTTAAAGAAAACATGTTGTTGAATAATTTTCCTAAGCAGTGGGCCTACGGATGTGCATATTGGAATATGCGAGTTATAATCTAAGCCTTCAAATATATCCTGGAATAACTATGTTTTGACATAACTTCATCTAAATTTTAAATGGTTGAACAAAAAAAGATTTAAAAAAAACTTGGGGATTCCCGCAAAATGATGTTCAACCATCATCTTCATCACTGGTTCTTTCCTACATATTTCCATTTTTTCATACTTCCCCACATTTCTCTCACATTCCCTTCGTTTCCTTCCAAAGACCACTCGGTGGGAATGACTGTGAAAGGGAAAGCATTCGGTGTTTATTTTTTTTTTTAGCTGGCAGCTGCTCACTTTGATTTTTGAGGAGTGCAGAGTATCTCCAATACCCCTAGAATAATTTCTTCCCTTGGGAAATCCCACGGAATGGTATTCAACCTGGCCCTTTCCTGTAGTGACACTGTAGTGATTTTCCTAACCTGTCATATTTCCCATTATTTCTCCCATATTCCCTTCATTTCCCTCCAAAGAACTTTTTTTTGGGAAGCGTTCGGTTTTGATAGGTTTTTCATTTTTTTTCCAGTTTCTGGGCGGGTTGGATGGTTCTGGCAGCTGCTGACTTTGATTTTTGGGAAGTGCAGGATATCTCCACTACCTCTAGAATAATTTCTTCTCTTGGGAAATCCCACAGAATAGTATTCAACCTGGCCCTTTCCTGTAGTGATTTTCCTAACCTGTCATATTTCCCACTATTTCTCCCATATTCCCTTCATTTCCCTCCAAAGAACTCATTTTTGGGAAGCGTTCGGTCTTGATAGGTTTTTCATTTGTTTCCAGTATATGGACGAGTTTGAGTGGTTCTGGCAGCTGCTCACTTTGATTTTTGAGGAGTGCAGGGTGTCTCCAATACCCCTAAAATAATTTCTCCGTTTGGGAAATCCCACAAAATAGTATTCCTTTCCTGTAGTGATTTTCCTAACCTGTCATATTTCCTCTGATTTCCCACATATTCCCTTCATTTCCCTCCAAAGAACTCTTTTTTGGGAAGCGTTCGGATTTTATAGATTGTTCAATTGTTTCCAGTTTATGGGCGAGTTGGATGGTTCTGGCAGCTGCTCACTTTGAATTTTGGGAAGTGCAAGGCATCTCCAATACCCCTAGAATAATTTCTCCCCGTGGGAAATACCACAAAATAGTATTCAACCTGGCCCTTTCCTGTAGTGATTTTCCTAACCTGTCATATTTCCCATTTTTCTCCAATATTCCCTTCATTTCCCTCCAACGAACTCTTTTTTGGGAAGCGTTCGGTTTTGATAGGTTTTTCATTTTTTTCCAGTTTCTGGGCGAGTTGGATGGTTCTGGCAGCTGCTCACTTTGGTTTTTGAGGAGTGCAGGGTATCTCCAATACCCCTAAAATAATTTCTCCCCGTGGGAAATACCACAAAATAGTATTCAACCTGGCCCTTTCCTGTAGTGATTTTCCTAACCTGTCATATTTCCCATTTTTCTCCAATATTCCCTTCATTTCCCTCCAACGAACTCTTTTTTGGGAAGCGTTCGGTTTTGATAGGTTTTTCATTTGTTTCCAGTATATGGGCGAGTTGGATGGTTCTGGCAGCTTCCCACATTGATTTTTGAGGAATGCAGGGCATCTCCAAGATCCTTTGAATAATTTCTTAAAGAACGAGTTTGGTTTCGAGTTGCAAGTTTTGATGCGTTCTTGCTGCAACTTAAGATTGAGGGGGGATTCTGACATGACTGCCAGGGAGCACACATGAAACATGATGTTGAATTTATTTGCGTTGTAGGATTCGCAACGCATCAATCCTAAAAAGCAAAAAACCTAAAACATAATAAGCCACTTTTGCAAGCCCAACATTGCGCAAGATGGGATATCGCATTGTTCTAGATCGTTTCCTCCGAAAGTTACAACACTGCCATCACTGCGAAGAAGTGCTGCGTGAACACAGCCTGCAGAAACTTGAGTGTACGACATTCCTTCATTCCAAAGGTGGAATATGCCATCGGATCAAAACAAGGTCAAATACCAAAATTATTTTGAAATATTTTTTTTGCTGTGAGAGTGTTTTCGTCAAAATTATTTTGAGGGGGGGTAACCCATCAAAATAATTTCCAGCCAGAAATTATTTTGGTAATGGTTAGAGTCTATAAATCTATACATCCAACATGTTAGATTTTTGAAATTATTTTCAAAAAAATATTTTGGAGGGTAACCCCCCTGAAATAATTTCATTAAGGTAGGAGGGATTTCAAGACACTCAGGTACCACAGGATCATTTTAACAACATGGCGAACCTGCAATCCAAGCCCTGGGAAATAGCATCCAACATCATCCAACGCTACATTGGAGCTTCCAAGGTCTCAGTGCAGGAGTCACCGCCCTGACTCCTCAAGCTGTCGGAAGATGGCACGAGGAAAGATGGGCCCAAAGGGGTGCAGTTGCCAATATGACCCTAGAGGACATCATCAGATGGCGCAGGAAGGAAGAGCGACGGATCCACGGTGAGGATCCCGATTCCGGAGAGGACAGCGCATCCGCAATTTCACTTCAGTTTTTGACGGTCGAACCTCATTTCGTGCGAAAAGGTGCGCGGGACAAGTGAAATCGCAATTTTACCTCAGTTTTTGGCGATCGAACCTCGTTTCGTGCGAAAGGGCACCTTCAAAACGCAATTTTACCTCAGTTTTTGGCGATCGAACTTCATTTCGTGCGAAAGCGTTGCGCCGGACAAGTTGAAATCGCCATTTTACCTCAGTTTTTTGGCGATCGAACCTCATTTCGTGCGAAAGGGTTGTGAACTGTGCCGGACAAGTTGAAATCGCAATTTTACCTCAGTTTTTGGCGATCGAACCTCGTTTCGTGCGAAAGGGTTGCGTTTCGTGCCGTCTCGTTGGCACTGCCCCTGCCCCCGCCTTCAGAAGAGAAATAGAAAAGAAGGAGAGGGCAAGAGGGGCAAGAGGGGCAAGAGGGCAAGAGGGCAAGAGGGCAAGAGGGCAAGAGGAGAAGATGTGGAGATGTGAGGATGTGAAGATGTGATGAAGATGTGAAGATGTGAGGATGAGAAGATGTGAAGAAGAGGGCAAGAGGGCAAGAGGCCAAGAGGGCAAGAGGAGAAGATGTGAAGATGTGAGGATGTGAAGATGTGAGGATGAGAAGATGTGAAGATGAGCAGATGTGAAGATGTGAAGATGTGAGGATGAGAAGATGTGAAGATGAGAAGATGTGAAGATGAGAGGATGTGAAGATGAGAAGATGTGAAGTGAGAAGATGTGAAGATGAGAAGATGTGAAGATGAGAAGATGTAAAGATGAGAGGATGTGAAGATGAGAAGATGTGAAGATGAGAAGATGTGAAGATGAGAAGATGTGAAGATGAGAAGATGTGAAGATGAGAAGATGTGAAGATGAGAAGATGTGAAGATGAGAAGATGTGAAGATGAGAGACAGACCCCCACTATTGGAAGAACCCTGCGCTCAGACGCTCTCGGGAAATACAAAAGAATACAATTGTGGCTTTGGCGGCCTGAAATTCTGATACTAATCTTGATCGCTCCATGTGTTGCCAAAGAAGCTGGATACCGCAGGAGGATCTCAACCACACAGTTCGCAAGAAGCGTTTTGCCTGCCTCTTGCAGCCTTGGTGCCAGATCCTGCAAGTAGCCTGCCATTGAAAGGACGTGCAGGTGAGTCAAAGGATGTCTCTGAGAACAGTTCTGAAGTTTTTGCATGAGATGGTTCTACTTGTTTTTGACATGGCCGTTTACATCCATCCCATATATATATATATATTCGAACTAACATCTATCTATATCTCTCTATTTGTCTATCTGTCTTGACTGCTTTGTATGTAATCCGTGTTTCATGACACTACGTACAAGTAAACCAAATGTATAATTCTCAGTAAATGGTATGTGTACAATATATATATATATATATGTATATACAGTATGTATATATATAATTATATATATATAAGTATATATACAATTATATATATAATTATAATTAAATATATATATACACATACGTATAATATGCACTATGCAAGTATCTCACATTTGCAGAACAGATGAGGTCCTTAAATATACCGAATTTCCCCGAGTTACACGGCACAAGACAATACCTCCGCTTTGGGTAGCTGAATACATTTGAATTCGGTTCGTTGTATCTATTAACTTCTATTTGGGGTCTCCAAAATGGGGGATCCCCAAAACCATAGGTTTCAATACTAAAATGGTCTAATTTTGGATGATTTGGGGGTAGCCCTATTTTGTTTCAGCTTTCCTTACCACCCCCCTGCTTCAGGGCCAAAGTGCCAATCTGATCAAATATATAGTTCCAGCAGGAAACAACAACCAAACCACTTCAAGATCTGTGGGAATGGGTTATGGTGAAATCCTCCCAAAAACATCCAAAAAAGATCCAGCGCCTGATACGACGCCGGGTTTGCGTAGACTTCCAGCATCTTCGGAATCACTGTCACTGTAGGCGGTGGAGCCAGAAATGCTTTCCATGGCTGTGCTCTGGCTTTCGCTTGGTATCAACTGCCCTTGAAAGTTCTCCGAGTAGCCAGGGGTTGGATCCATCAAAGCTTCAACCAGCACTGTCAGCATCTCTTTGGGTTCCTTACAATTGCACAGTATCTTGGTCAGCGTCTCCAAAGGCAGCCCCTGGGGATTTCTGTGGAGCTCGTAAGCTAGATATGCACTTGCATGCAAGGTGTGGCTGTCTGCCATACCACATTTCTCTGCAAATTCTTCGAGCTTTCCGCGAAGCTCACTGCGTTTCCAGTCAAAGGTTTGCCAGTTGTCCTGTGTTACAAAGTGAAAATCGTCATTCCTCTGAGCATCTATCCAGGCATCATCTTTGAGATCCCTATGGTTGGATACCACTCGCACCTGCCACTCCTGCATCTCTTTCCCCCTCTGTTTCAACAGCTGCAGCGCAATGCGTTTCAACTCTCGAGCCCTCAGACACATGACTTGTGGAACCTCCAAGGTGCGCAATAGCGAGACCACTTTCCAAAGCCCCGGCGCCGCAAACCACGGTTGCTCCCTTGGAACTGCGGCAAAGGCCCATGCGAAGGACTTCAGGCACCGCTCCTCAACGAACTTGGCGACGACGTGCTGCAGTCTTTGAGTATCGAGCTTCACAGAAGAGAGCAAGAGAAGCCAAAAGCTGGAATGGCCAAGATACATTTTGATATCCTTTTGAAAATCGATGCCAACTGCTTGACAGTCTTTTTCTATCGCGCCAACTAAAGACTCCGTATCTGAATCACTTAGGTTCTGCACACCGGAGCTGCAAAGTAGAAGAGAATTTGCACCATCAATTTGACTCCCCTGGTCAGATTCTGACTCTGCTTCAAAGTTGTCAGGTGCGAAGTGGCAAGCAAGATTCTGCAAGAGGTTGACAAATTGCTCAGCTGGAAACTCGTTGCTGTTCTTTTCACTGGTGTTTGCAACTGCCCTGCCAATGACATCAATAACCTCCTTTGGGATTTTCTGATAGTCCTCGGAGTCCTCTGTCTCATTAACCGAGCCTTGGCTGTTCCGGCTTCCGCTGGCAGATGGATCCAATGCTGCAAGAACTTCCTTCAGATTGTTGCTGGTCAGAATTGGGATCTGCTTCTCTAGACTTGAGAGTCCGTCCTTGTTGTTTTTGAAGCATCGCAGAATCTTGCAGACGTCCCGTCTCACATCCTCGTAGGTGCGCATGACGTCTCCGCTCAGTTCAGAGTCTGTCAGGATTTGACAATGGCAGGCACACAGCCGGAAGCGAGTCATATTGTCGATATACTGCGGATCCATGATCTCACGAGTCAGCTTTTCGATGATCGGTGTCTTGAACAACCCGACCGCTTGCGATGATACAGGAATCATCTCCATTTTGAGGTGTCCAAAGGATAAAACTTCGACCTCATGCACCAGGTTCTGTTGGAACATTTGTATGCTCGTGGGTTGACATCTGAGTTGGTAGCAAAACAGCCTCGCGAATAGCGAGGTGTCATACATTGTTGCCTCCAGCTCACAACAATACATGAACATGCAGTTCGGAACCTTCAAGGCTTTGAACTCGGTTTGGGTCGGCATGGAACTTTTCGGGACGAAAAGCGCCCTCCCTTCTTTGTTCATCACCGAGGGCACTTCAGAAACGATGTCGCGGCATGCAGCGATCACACACCACAGTGTGGCCTGAGGTTTCTCATTCATCTTTGCAAGCAACCACTCTTCAAGCCAGAGGCCAGTTGTTCGGATGTAAGCCTCTTTATCTTCAGCTGGAAGTATCAGGGTTCCATGATTTTTGTGGCCTTTGGCATGCCCCGAGTACCAAACCAACAACTTGTCTTCCTCGCCCATCTTGGTGATTTGCTCGGTGAGATTTTCCGTGATCCCTGAAAGGGACCAGAGTTGTCTTCCTTCAAAACAATTCCAAACACCAATGTGCTGCGGAATTCATGTTCAATCCACTGGGAAATAGGCTAGGCATACACTAATCATGCACTTACCCAGGCTGGTCAATTGCAGGTCTCTGGGATCCCCAGCCAACACACTCCAAACCCAACCCCTGCACCTGCTTCCGGCTGGTTTGTCACCAATAGCGGCGGGTTTTCCTCTGAACAAAGATTGCGTGCTGCTTCTTGAACCTGTGCCAATCTTAGACACCCTGCAATTCTTCTTTAAAGCTGGTTGGTGCTATGTATATATATATATATTTATATTTATATTTATATTTATATTTATACACATTATAATATAAAACAAATCGATTTCTGCTTTCCATTTCTGGGCAATTTTCTTACATAGGCACACATCTTCCCACATTTTTGGCTAAATCACAAGGTATTTTCGTCATTAAACAACCATCCAAGGCCCAGTAACCATCTCTGCATCCTTGACTGCAGCTTGAAGATGGCCCGAGTCGTTGCCAATGACCACCACATGCCAGCGAGACTCCATGGCTTGGCTAAACGCTCTGGATCTAAGCAATAGATCGCTTTTTTTTTTAATAGTGGATAATGAATAAATTATGGATATTGTCCGGATATTGTGAACACTTTAGTTTATGTTTAGATATCATCTGGCTAATCTAGTTTGTACGCGGGTATTTTCTGGGTAATTCTGTAATGGACCAGTCAAATCCAACCAAATTCTATTTTATTGTCTATATCATTATGTATATCATATTGGGATACTAGATGATGGCGAGGTTGATATAACTTTTGCCGATATATCAACCAAGGTGTTACCTTTAATTGGACTTACAGGGTGGAATACAATGAAATACACCTGCAGCCTCCTGCAGCCTCCTGCACAACACAACTTGGCCAAGATTCCAAATCAATGGCCCTTTTCAAAACAACTGAAATGATTCTCCGAAATTTTCACCTAGCAATAGACAATCCTCAAATTTTCAAGGACACTGACACTGACAGGTGTACATCCATGTCCTGCCGTGGGATATGACCTGCTGTGCTTTTCCATGGGAAGGCTGATGTCATTTCTCTGTGACTTGTTTACTCTCTGTGACTTGTGAATAATTACAAGTAATCCCTTCCCTATGATATTTGATGATATATATCCATATAAATGTGATATGTGACTTTTTTGGGGCCATATAAGTAATCCCATATATATCACCAAATTTCATATGGCCCCAACAAATGAATAGATCTAATACTTAACACCAGGGCTTTCGGGGTTATGGGGGTTATAGAATTTATGAACGGGGGAAGGGATTACTACAGTAACGGGACTCCCGAAACCTTCCGGAGGTTGCCGGCTATCAGTCTCCATTTTTATGTTTGAATGTTTATTGAACCTCTATTTCCCTTATTCTCCCTCCATCATTTACGAATTACAACTCGATTGAACCTCCATAGTATCGACGATTGAAATCCTTATAATGAATGATACTATGGTTTCAATGATGGTTGGGGAATCCACTATAGGATTATCATAACTATGGGGAAATAACTATATTCCTCAGGAAAATCCTTATAGTGGTTATATCCAGCCATTGATACTTTGGACACCCACCCAATTTTCCTGAGCTTCGCCTTGGTTGCCTCGTCGACCCAATGGTGGAATAGCCCTGGCAAAATTTGGCGGGTTCCGGTAAAGTTTCCCCAAAATCAATTCCGGAAATAATTCATGTTTCTAATGTTTCTGATATTCTGGATTATTGTTTCAAACAATCCGGAAATATTTGCTCAGATTCCCCAAACGTTGGAGAAACGAATGGAAAGAAACATAATAGTCTTCAGCCAATCCAGCCCAAAGCGTGTTTTTTAAGCAAGCAAGATTGGGGCTCAAACAACATCAAAACTAATGAGATATAATCTGGACAATACCAACAACTATAACCATTAAACAACAAGTTTAGTAGAGTAGGTCTTATCAAACTTTGAGGGGATTGAAGGGGTTTAAGCGTCAAAAAGTGAGCCATTACTATAAGCAACTCTTGATGAGGATCCCCATAGAATCTTTACTTAATTGGCAATCCAACACCCAACAGGGTACTCCAAAAACAATAGTCGTAGGCAACACCAACCAACATTTCCCATCATTCACAATGCATCCTAAACTTGAAAGCTGCTTCGAGGCAATTTTTTGTGATATCTGTGATATGGTATTGGTCATCCCATAAATTTCCATACTGGGATTCTCATAACAGGTATAAACTATGTATAATGTATATAATATACATGTGCATATATATATGTACATAACACCCTATCAATGGAGTGATGACCATCCCCCCCACATGGGAAATTTACATAAATTTACCCAAATTTATAACCGGACATGAATCAAGAAGGAAAAAAACAGGGAAATACTGAAACCAACTTGCAGAGTAAACTTGTTTGTCATGGTTTCTCCGAAATAGGGTGCCCGCAAAAAATGATCAGCTCTCATCATTTTCCCAATGAAAATTGCTGTAAATTGAGAATATATCCCTCATGCTCAGCCACATCCATAAAAAATGGCTGATATTCCAGAGCCAGCCTATCAGAGGGTATATCATATATGGTTTCTTGAACCACTTACCTCCAACGCACCGCACATCCGAGGGATTCCAATCAACGCAGCGCCAAGCGTCGAGCTGGAACCAATGACTTTGGGGAGCGATCTGCCATGAAGTGACCACGGGGCCATGGAACTGGTTTAAACTATGGTTTATGGTAGATATAACAGATATAACTGTAGTTTTCATGGGGTTTATAAACCAACTTATAACTGGGGGGCACCATCCTGTATCCATAATGTTATTACAAAGATTCTTTGTGTAGAGTTGATATGATATCCATTGTTTTTGTTTTCTCGGGTCACTATGTGTCTCCATCAAATACCAACTATATCCACTATGTGTATCAACACGTACGGCTAGCCCAAGCTAACCAGTGAGATTGGCCATGGAAAAGGAGCAACTTGGATCATCTCATCTGATATCCAGCCATGGATAATGAGGTCGCAACCAAAATGCCATCTGGGGATCTGGCTTTTGGGAGAATCATCCCTCTGGACAATCCAGCCATGCATCAAAACAACAATTGCTTCGTTAGTCTAGCTATACCTTCTGCTATGTATCTATCTATCCATCTATCTATCTATCTATCTGCCTGACTGTCTGTCGATCTCTCTCTCTCTCTCTGTCTGTCTGTCTGTCGGTCTGTCCGTCTGTCTATCTGTAATACATATACTGTATATACACACATATAAATTATGTGTATATGTACGTCAATATATAAATCTATATTTACATATATGATCATATATGTATATAGTTGTACACACACGCAGATACGCATGCATAGCATTGTAGATATCCTTTGTGCCTAAATCACGTGGTATTATGTAATCATGTATCATTGTACATACAGTACAATGTGTAGCTGTAGCAGTATAAAGTCATCATCATCATCATCATAATCATCATCATGTAAGATCATAAATGGGTATCATCATCATTACTATCATAAATAATTCTACTCTTATGTGTAGTAGTATCAATATTAGTAACCCACTCATGATATATAGATATTCCGTAATGATAAAACTGTATGTTGTTTTTCTTTTTTCCAGATATGTCAATATTTCTAATCATTACTATGATACATATTCTTATCTTATTCTTATTAGTAGTATTAATATGTATTAATATTGGTAACTTCCCATGGGTCTTCCGTTGAACGCACACAGTGCCGGCGCCTTTGGCTCGTGAAGACGCTGCGCGCCTTGGGCGGAACTTGACGATGCTCCTGCGAAGTTTGACCGTCTAAAATGGTGATTTAAAGGGGATTTGAAAGGATTCATAGGGATATAACCAATGAATAATCGACATATCGACTATATCTCTGTTTAGTGAGGATTTGATGGGATTTATTGGGGTTTAAATTAAGCATGTTTAATAACCAACCAAACATGGAGATTCATGGGGGTTTTAACCATCTAAAATATTCCATAATGGTGACTTGATGGGGATTTTAAGAGGATTTCACTGATTTGATCACTATTTATAGTGGTTTTTTATGGATCATTTCATGGTGATTTTTGATGGTGATTTTTCCCAAGAGCGTCTGAGTGCAGGGTTCTTCTAACAGTGGGGGTCTGTGAAACATCTTCTCATCTTCACATCTTCTCATCCTCACATCCTCACATCTTCACATCCTCACATCTTCACATCTTCTCATCTTCACATCCTCACATCTTGCCCTCTTGCTCTCTTGCCCTCTTGCTCTCTTGCCCTCTTGCTCTCTCCTTCTTTTGGATTCTCTCTTGAAGGTGCGGGGCAATGCCAACGAGACGGCACGAAATGCAATGTAAAATTGCGATTTCTCGCGTCCGGGCGCTACCCTTTCGCACGAAATGACGTTCGATCGCCAAAAACTGAAGTAAAATTGCGAGTTGCAACGCGTCCGGCGCAACCCTTTCGCACGAAATGAGGTTCGATCGCCAAAAACTGATGTAAAATTGCGAGTTGCAGCGCGTCCGGCGCAACCCTTTCGCACGAAATGACGTTCGATCGCCAAAAACTGCAGTAAAATTGTGAGTTGCATGCAACGCGTCCGACGCAACCCTTTCGCACGAAATGAGGTTCGATCGCCAAAACCTGATGTAAAATTGCGAGTTGCAACGCGTCCGGCGCAACCCTTTCGCATGAAATGAGGTTCGATCGCAAAAAACTAAAGTAAAATTGCGAGTTGCAACGCGTCCGGCGCAACCCTTTCGCACGAAATGACGTTCGATTGCCAAAAACTGCAGTAAAATTGTGTTGCATGCAACGCGTCCGGCGCAACCCTTTCGCACGAAATGAGGTTCGATCGCCAAAAACTGAGGTAAAATTGCGATTTCACGGATCCGGTCTCTGTGCGTAAAAGTGTTTGTGTGTAAAAGCGTCTGTGTGTAGTGTAAAAGTCTCTGCGTGTGGAGGTGTTTTTGTAAAAGCGTCTGTCTGTAAAAACGTATGTGTATAGAAGTCTCTGTGTGTAAAAGTGTTTGTGTGTAAAAGCGTCTGTGTGTAAACGCGTCTGTGTGTAAATGCGTCTGTGTAAAAGCGTCTGTGTGTAAAAGCGTCTGTGTAAAAGCGTCTTTGTGTAAAAGCGTCTGTGTGTAAAAGTCTCTGTGTGCAAAAGCGTCTGTCTGTGAAAAGTTCTGTGTGTGAAGAAACTATACGAAAGATACGATGCAAACTATTGTCTTGTGTTTGTGATATATTGTCTTGATACTACTCTTCTCGTCTGCCTATAATACATCTTTAATATATTGTCTTGTAATGTAGTGTCTCCATACTAACAACAGAAGACTCTGCTCCTCTACGCTCTCATGGCGGATAACCAACCAGTGGCGATGGATATACTTGGGATATACTTGGGATATAGGCGTCCAATGGAAATTGCTATATCAAAACCTCTGGACTTTGGCCCCTTTTTGTTGAAACAAAGCCTGGAGTATGTTTTAATATG